GGCTCATAAACTAGATTTCCTGGGTATCAAGACCCACTGGCACGGGCTCTCCTTTCCCTCAGCCCTCACCTCAGAAATTCCTTGTTACTCCCATCCTCCCAATCTCTGGTTTCAGGAGAGGGTCCTCCCCACGCAAAGCTAAGTCCTTGTTCTCAAGACCAGGCTTCCATTTCCAGAGGGATCTAATTAATACCTAACATTTATGGAAGTTTCCAAATGAACTAAGTGCTTCACGTTTCATCAATCGGTCTCTTCCACACAAATCTTCAACTTCTTCCTGTGCTGAATGCACCTTATTTTTCACCTGCTCTCTTAATTCCTTTATCTTTTATTTTTTAAAAATTTTATTGTGATTTAGGTGAAAGTATACAGAGCAAATTCATTTTCCATACAGCAGATCATATACGTTGTTTCATGACATTGACTGCAACTCCCCATAGGGTAACAGCTCTCTTCCCACTTCCTCCCTGTAGTTACCTCTTCCTTCTGTACCATTTTTTTCCATCTCTTCAGTCGGACTCCTCCCAAGACACCAACAGCCACTGCCATATCCTGCCTTCTTAACTCTTTGCAATGTGTACTCTCAAAAAATACCTTGTTCCTAGCATAGTCCAAGGTCCTTGCACTTCACATACTCACTTCAGCCACCTCCATTTTATGTGGCATTAACAGCCGCCTCCTCCCGGAAGCTCTTCTCTCCCCAGGTTTCTGCTCCAGATTCTCCTGCTGGTTGTTGCTCTTCCTGCTGTGCTCTGTGAATGTTTTCCCTCCTTCCACCCCTGTGCTCTGGTCTACCTGCTACACTGTCACTTCTGAGAGGTCATCCAGTTTCATCATGTTAACTGTCTTGTCTATACCCTAGACAAAGCCAAAGGCTTTCCAGTCCTATCATTCCCCACACCATTGCCATCCCTACGACACTTCTGTCATCTAATGCTGTCTTTCAGCGAGCTGGTTCCCCGTACAGATCTAATCCAGGTGCACCAAAAACGATACGGGCAGGGTTGGGAAATGGGACCGTTCACCTCTGCTGTGGGGTCATTTTGTGCCAGGAGTGGTTTCTTCTCAATGGGCAGCAGTTCCCATTTGCACGATGGGGACTGCAACCCCTGGCCTGCCTGTCTCACAGGGTACTGTCATTGTCACTGGAGCAGAGCCCTCTTCTGCCAGGGTTGTTGCCATTTCCTGGATCCCAGAGGAGCTCTGTGGCTACTCCATTTCTTCAGTAGCCACCTGTTAGGGACCAAGTCCTGAAGATATGTTCTTCATAATGTCTTCCCTTTGCATTCCTACCACCATGCCCTGGGACCTCAAGCCCAGATGGCTAGAATGGCCTCCTGCCCAAGTCATTCCACCCAGTGTACCACTGTGTATCTTCACACTCACCAAGTCACAATCCTTGCCAAGAATGCACCATGGCTCCCTGGTCCATCAGACAATGTGGAATCCAGGCTACGCAACTGGTGGGTCCCACCTGATCTCTGTAGCCTTTTCCTCCCATAGTAACCAATTCAGCTGGTTCACTTGAGTCCAGAGAGCTTCTTTTCCCAGCCTCCACCAGGCGGCTCCTCCTCACCTCTTCCTCCCTACCTCAAACTTCCCTCCTATCTAAAACTTGCCCATCTTTTATGTCCTGACTCCCTTCAGGGGTTTTCTGATTAGCCGTCTTGTTCTGATTTTTCCAGTTAGAGCTGCGTGTCTGCTGAGTGTTGTGTGTCTGCCCACACAAGCCCATGTGGCTAGAATACTGCTTTTGATTTCTTTTTACGTGTGACTACAGCACACTTGCCCCTCCCCCTCTAGAACTGCTGTTTAGAACTAGAAGCACCGGACTTGGGTGTCAAAGCCGCCCAAGTCTGCATGCAGGGTGTGTGTGAGCCTCCGCCAGCTTCAGTCTCACTCGGCTGGAACGTGAGCTAATAATACTTACCTCACAGGACTGTCACTGAGGGTTAGATAACAAGTAAAAACACCAAGCAGTGTCTGTCACAGAGCAGATACTCAACAACATTGGCCACTATACCTACCATGGGTCAGACAATCTGCTGAGTGGCTTTAATCTCAGCTTAGTGTAAGAAATAACATCATTTTAAATTAGTTTAGGTAAGACTGAAATCTTAGGGACAATGCTCACTATGCTGGTGTTTCTCACTTAAAATCCTTACAATACATTCTGCTCTGAAAGAATAAGGAAAGTCCGTTTCCGCTAATGAATTAGTATCCTTTCTTTTGTGTGCCAAGAGCTATGTAATCTTAAAGCTTTCCTTTTTCCTACCTCTGGCGGCCAGGAAGCTCAGAGCAAGATCTTACACCCGACTGTAGGGGACATCCTCGCCAACCCAAGGGAGGCAGTGTGGAATGGGGAGAAGGTGGCTGCAGCCTCTTCTTGCCCCAACTCTCTAGGCCTCACTTGGGTAACGGGGATAATAAACAACGATGAGGATAATACCTACGTTGTGAGGCAATGCATTTAAGAGATGTTATAAATTATAAAGAAATTTCATATAAACGTTTGTTATTAGCCGCCTGGTTTCCAATATAATTATTTTCCCTCCTAATATTTACTTCTTCAACGATGGGCTCAGGTATGGCAAGGATTGTGAGGCTGGCACAGGACCGGGCAGTGTTTCATTCTGTTGTACACAGGGTTGCCATGAGTTGGAGATGACCTGATGGCACTTAACAACAACAACAATATTTACATCTTATCTTTTAAATTTTGTTGTAATAGTTTTATAGTTTGACTGTACTGTGTCTCTTGCTGGAATTTGCTTTCATCCTTTCTGGAAGGGCACAGAGTACAAAGGGATGGCAAAATGATTTCTAGAGAGCAATCTCCCTAAGGTCGAGCAATCCTGTCCTCCACTTGTTTCATCTCAGGACAATTTACATTAGAAACATTTAGCTATGCAAAGATTGCTGAGCTGAAGCCAAAGGAGGTACTTAACACTGAGTTGGTAAAATAAACTGAACTGCACCTCAGACAGAGAATGGTCCAGAAAGGGGTTTGTTGGACTTGTACTGATCGTTGTTGATGATTTAGTCATTTATTCCTTCTTTCATTTTATACTGGTTTCATTTGTAATGATGCCTACTCTGGGTCAGGACTGTTGAGTGCTGGAAAAACAACGGTGACTAATCCCGAGTCTCCACTCTGAAGGCAGCCACAGCGCAGTAGAGAAGGTGCTGTGGTTGTTGCTGTGTGCCGCTGAGTCGGCCCTGACCCACAGCGACCCCTCCTTGGGTTTCTGAGGCAGTATCTCTAGGAAAGTAGATTGTCCAACCTTCCTTCCGAGAAGTGGCTGGTGGGTTTGAACCGCCAGCCTTCTGGTTACCAGTCAAGTGCTTTAGGCACTAGGCTACCAGAGCTCCCGTATAAAAGGTAGGTATGTCAAAATAATTCCAGATGGCAAGGTGAGTGCTAACAGAGCAGAGGACACTACTGTAGGAGCACCACAGTGGGAAGTGCTATCTGAGGAAGCATGGGATTTCTCCAGTCAGAAGAGGGTTTCAGGTAGAGAAAGCACAGTGTGGCCTCTCTAGGTAACCTTCTGCTTAGAAAAGAAATGGACTAGGGACTAACAACAGGCTGGAAATAGAGGCAGGGGACAGACTAAGAAGAGCCTGGGAACCTCCAACGAGTCTGGATTTTATCTTGAATGTGAGGTTTGGGGTAGTTGATGAAAATGGTGATGGCCAGGAGTGAGGGCTTTGGGACATCAGACATGACAGACATAATCTGACTCTTCCCAGTGCAGCTCCTCATTAGGACCTGCAGCATTTGATGATGACTGAGAACGGACTTGGCTCTGGAGGCAGGAGCTATCTGATGCTTGAGGGAATCATACAGGGCCTAGATGAATATAGGCGAGCTGGGATGTTGAGAAGGGGAGCCAAGTACTGGACAGAGACTGGACTGAATGACCTTAAAGTTCCTTCCACATCTGAGATCTCAACATTCTAAAGCAAGCCCAGTAGCTGAACTCGTGCTATGGGTTGGGTCTGTGGCTGGGGAGCTGCCCTGGGCAGCAAATGGGTTAAGGCTCAAATAACTTTTATATATGAATTAATGTGTAGAGTCAGGAGCCAAAATCTGTTCCATTAATTTTTCCATCCAATTCCTGGAGCAGTTAGGTACACACAGTAAAGTTTATTTTGGTGCATGGTATACTTCACTCCATTAAAAATAAATTAATCAGCAAATTCCTGCCTGGCTCAGCTCTGGTTTATGTAAATAGTGCCCAGCTGTAATGAGTTACAAGGTGTTATTATCTCACACACACAGTGGAGGCTTCACCCTAGAGCTCCGCTAGCAACAAAAGCATCTTAAATAAACCAGGAGACGGCGGTTTGATTTGTAATGTTTTCACAGAAGTGGGATATACCTCAGCCATATAGAGTTTCTTTATATGACTCATTTTATAGCAAGTTAAATGAAGAAAGCCTGATTGGGGGAGGGGTGAACAATATGACTCCCCGTTCCCTTCTTTGATTTAAAAAAAAATCCCCCAAAGAGATGGCCGGCGCTCGGGAGGAGGAGGGGACTAGTCATGCAATGCTCAGACTGGTGGTTCTGTAGTATATGTCCTGGAGCTGGGAAGGGGACAGAAAGCTGGGCACAGGGCTGAGGCTTAGGACAGAACCAAGTCAGAAAGAAAAGTCTCCTGCTCTCCTCAGTACCTCATTCAAGGAGGGTTGAGGAAGGACAGACAGCACGTTCCTCCCCCAGTTCACTGAAGGTGACACAGAGGACTTTGGTTTTGAAGCCTCTTTCCAAATGACTTAGGATGGCCCCTTGGCCACCAGAGGACTCCTGGATCCCTGGCTGGCAGGTTGTGCCTTGGCCAGAGGAGTGAGACATCTCCATAAACTGGAGGCAAAAGCAGCAGCAAAGACCCTCCCCTTCTCCCTGCCTCTATCTGAGCCAGGCCATACTTCTCAGTGAGGCACCACCATCTCAGATACATTTCTAAAAGACCCTACAATAAAGAAGAGCCATGGCAGAGACAAGTCTCTGTTTCTTTTAATGGTCAACTCCCCCTCATGGCTCAACCCAGGGGACAGAAGTGTGGTTACCCGTTTTGACTCAGCAGTATCACAAACTTCCCCTAGGCCACAAGAGGCCCTTGGTGGGGATCTCCCTTTTCTTACCTACCCCCATCCTTTCCCAGGATTTTGGGAGAAGCTGTCAATCACACAGAGTTGCTAGAGGGGCCTTCGAGAGCGTGTGCTGGAGAGCTTTTGCTCAGTGCTTCTGTAATGGAGAGGATGCCCCAGAGGAGCAAGAGATTCTCTCAGCACTGTACCCCATCAGATCAGACTCCTGGACACACTAAGGAAAATCAACACAATGGGGCCAGGTAGTTGAAGATGCTGTTCAAAGGTCAGTTCAGGCTATTTTCTGCTGGGTCCTGGGCAAAACAGGCATTTCCCTCTTGGTGGTTCCTCAAGCAAGTTGGCCAGCTGTTTGGAGGGACCAGCCATCAAAGACCCTCGTCGTTATAAACTGGGGAATGGGGCTTCAGGACGCTCTGAGGATTCTTCTCCACTAGAGGGCGCCAGCTCACCTCCCCTGTCAGAAGCAGATCCTCACCACTCATGGAGTCCAAGTACTGAATCTGCAAATGGAAGAGTAGGGATCAGAGAAAAGGGACAAGATCAGACACGAGATGGCATAAGGAACCGGTCTCCCAAAGGAGGGGGAAAGGAAGGTGCTCATGACTATGCCAGCACCCAGGCTGGGGGGTCTCTGATTGCCCACATTCATTTCATTAAGGAGCTTCTGAGAAAGGACAAAGGTTGGGGCAGTTCACCGGGAAGGCTTTAGGGAATTTCCTGTCAAGAGTCTGGATGGACAAAGATGGACAGGCACAGACACATACACTCCAAGGACATTACTTTCCCTGATACACCCTCCCTAGAAAGCACATGTAGTCCAGGAAGTCGGGACTTGCAACTTAACAGAAATCATCCTGTTCATCCTCATCCAAAGCTGCTGGGTGAGGTGAGTCCTAATGATGCCCCTTCCTAGGGGTGTGACTGAGGTAAGCCACTTTCCCTCTCTGAGACTATGGTCTGAGAAAGGGGATAGTCATGTGTACCTTACAGGACTTATGAAGAGATTAAATGACATTACATAGGTACAGTGCTAGTCACTCACACTTTTTTTTTAAATATGTAGCATACTACTGTCCTCTACTGGGCCTTGATACGTGGTCAGCAGGCCCAGCTCTACCTTGTAGGATGGCTGGTGCATCTGTCCCCTTTCACAGCTTTGCTGTTAACATGTTCACATCCTAGAGAACCCTGCCCTCCGATGACTTTCACCACTGATCCTCGTTCCATCTGCAATTGGAAAGACCAAGCACAGTATCTGTCTGCTTTCCACACTGACAGCTGCTCTTACATCTGAAGAGAGAGATCCTGGCCCCCTGGGCTTTCTCCCATTTGTGCCTCCAGCTTGTCTGGCATAGAGATAGTGAGCTTCAATCCCAGTGCTCAGAGTTCTGGTTCCAACAAAGGCTGAAGACTATGGGAAGGGTCGGGCTGGATGCCACTGCCCTGGGCAATGCCAAGTCCCTGAATGCTCCCAGGTCTGCCCAAGGAATCTAGGTGGAGCTCTACCTGGAGGAAGGGACACCTGCGACGGGAGAGAACGGGAGCAGCTATAGGGAAGGTATGGTCAGGCAGTTCTTCCAAGAAGCAGTTGTTCTAGTTGAGTGGCTGGGCCTCAGGAAAGGCAGTCACTGGGAGGATTCCCCAGGTTGCCTGCCAGTAAGCACAGCAGCAGAATGAGAAATGATTTTAAAGGGATAGGCAAAATTCATCTCTGAAATGAATCAGAGCAAGAGTCAGCAATGGATTCAGAATAATGGGGCTCCACTTTGGGGTTTTCATTTTGCATTTGGAGAGGGGAGGGAAGGAGGCTAGAAGCTTCATCTTAGGCCTTGAATTGTCTCCCTCTTCCAAGAGTATGTTCACTTCTGTTGCTTTGTCTTCAAGCTGCTGACTCTCAATCCTCAACCCGAAGCTCTCACATACCCCAAGTCTGGACTGCCACATCCTGCTAGCTCCTTCAATCCAAGGAGCTCCAATTGAAAAATCACCTTCCCTAAAACCCATTCATCTTCCCAACTACTGTTTTTGTCTGTAATGCCAACACTCTGCCCATCTCCTGATTTAGAAATCTCAGTATAACCTCTGATGGTCTCAGGCCATCTACTACACCAAGTACCACAGCAGAGGACTAGAGCCTGCTTTGGGCCCAGCTTCCAATCTTCTCTGCCCACATGGTCAGAATTAGTCTTCCTTTCTCTGGCCTTTCTTTGTTCCTGCCTGGATCATGGGATGACTTATTTTAGCGTTAGCCTTGTGCCTTACTGGCCTCCTTGCCAAACCATGAGCTGGCTCCTGAGGGCAGGGACTGGCTCTTAGTAATCTCTGCTTTCCCAACAGAGTACCTGGCACAGTAGTTGCTCGAAAGGTTTGCTCATGAAACTGGGTACCCATCAAAATCCCTGCTTTCTTAGGAGCCCCATCACTGTGTTCCCATAGCCTATGTCTCACTAGGCCATACGGGACTTTTTATAGGGGGACTGGCTGCAGTAGTTCTTTCAGTTAGGGCTGTCAGAAGTCCCAGCTATACCCTCATCACTGCCCCTGCACAAGCCTACCATGGCAGATGGAAAACTTGGGCTGTCTCTCAGAAAACACAGCATTTGATTTGCCAACTGCTTTCCTTGTCTGAGGGTGAGCCTAGTCAACAATGTCTCTCTGAACTTCTGTGCAGTGGGGTCCTCTGGCTATAGTTCCTTCTCCCTGCTTTAGCAGATATGAAGAATGGTCCCAAAAGTCCTGACTTCTGGGATTTTCTACTCTCTGGGTTCGAAAAGGCCCAGTATGTGGATTTTCCAGCAATTTACATATTGGTCCTACTGTCCTCATCATCCTTCTCCTCAAGAGTTGGGGGCCTAGCCTTCCCCTTCCTTGCTGTTGGAGGCTTGAGTGCCATGGGCACAGGTGAATAAGAGAGTAACTGTGGGACGAGGTCCCTTTAGCTCCAAAGGCCAGGCCCATGAAGCACAGGTGTGACTCATGGGATGGCCTGAGCTGCTAAGCCGTCTTGAGCAGCTGGGGCCTCTGGTGGCTGCATGAATCACTCAGCTTGGGTTCTAGACCAGCTGTGCAGGCTGACTCACTGGGAGACCCTGGAAAAGCTTCTGTGTACCTCCTCCCTGCTGTTCTGCTCACTCATCTACAAAGTATGGGCTTCCCGTCAATTCAGGAGCTGGGGGCAGAGATCAAGAAGTTCATTCTCCACGGGCTTGAGGGAAAACTATGCATTTAACCAGTTTTCACTCTAGAGGTTTTTCCTAGAAGCTCTGGTGTCAGGGAGTCCTGGGGGAACAGAAGGATGAGGTACTAAAGTAAGGGGACCCTGCTTGACTATGGATAGCAACCAGTGGGAAGAAAACTTGAGTTATGTTTGTGGAATGCTGTCAAGAACCTAATTCTGCCAGAAATCAGGAAGTGTGAACACTGGATCTCTAAGTATATACAAAAGGGGCTACAGTGACTGGCTGCCCGCATACCCCATGCTTGTATTTTACAGGACTGTGTGTACAGTGTCATGCACAACACCTGGAGGCAATCAAATGTCCACTCAAGGTGGGAGACCACTCAGTGCCTTTTCCTCTTTTTTAATTTTCTTTCCCCAACTCTTCTGGACAAGCTCATGGTTGGCAGGTTGGACACACAGAGGTGCTCTTCATCAGTGTCTGCCACTGATGTGATTTTTTTTTTTTTTTTAACTTTGTCATTTGGGTGAAAGTCAATAGTGCAAATTGGTTTTCCATTCACTAATTCATGTTCATTTTTGATTCATGAATTGATTGCAATTCCCACAATTCAAAGCACTCTTGCCATTTCCTCCCTGTGCTTACTGTTTCCGTTTGTCCTTCTTTCCTGTCCCCTCCTGCCTTCTGAGCTTTATTCCTGGGTAAATGCTGCCCTTTTGTTCTTGTATGCTTGGTTGTTATAGGGAGTGTGCACTTCCCTGGTGTTACTGTTCACCTTATAAGCTTGTCTATTATTTGGGTGGAAGTTGAACCACAGGGATAAGTTAGGTTCCAAGCTTGAAAGGTGTGTAAGAGCCATAGTCTCAGAGGTTTCACCAGTCTCTATCAGACCAGTGAGCTGGTCTTTTTTTTTTTTTTTTTTTTTAATTATTTTGAGTTTTGTTTCACATTTTTCTCCCACTCTATCTAGGATCTCCTATGATGATCCCTTTCAGAGCGGTTGGCAGTGGTAGCCATGTATCATCTAGTTCTTCTGGTCTCAGGATCATAGAGGCTGGGGTTTACATGGTCCATTAGTTCTTTAATAATTTCCATCTGTCTTTGACTTTCTTCACTCTTCTTTGCTCCAGACAGGAAGAGACCAATAGTTGCACCTTAGATGGCCGTTCATAAGCTTTTAAGACTCTAGTCACTACTCACCAATGTAGGATGGGGAACAATGTCTTTGTGGACTATGTTATGTCAACTGACCTTGATGTCCCCCAAGATTATGGTCCTGAGCTTCCAGGCCCAGTGACTCATTCTTTCAAGGTGTGTGATTATGGCTAAGAAGTTTTCCTCACTTTGCTCCCTGTATGCTCTACTATATTCATAGATACACTTGTAGCACATATAAACACATATGTAGAAGTATTCCTGATGTGACTTGATCACAGTTTCCTCAGAATGGCCTCTGGTAACTCAGCTTCCTATGATCCACGGAAAGCCCAGCTTCCAGAGACTGAAGGACTCGTTTTCCATGAGAATCTGGAGGGGAGAGAAGGGCTGCTCACCTGTTTCCTCACATATTCCACCAGCAATTCAAGCTGTCGAGGGTCTTCACATTTCTGGTTGAAGAAAGTTCTCCATAGAGCAGCAGCTAGTCCACGATCATCTGAAAGGAGGCCCTGGAATACAGAGTATCATTTGTCTTCCCAGGAGCCTTGTAAAATCATGATACAAAAGCTGGGGATAATGTAAACAGGCTAGCAAACCACAGAATCAGCTCAGGACCTTACAGACACTGAGAGGCAGAAATGGGGTGGCTACATGGTAGGGCTAAAAAGGGTCTGCAGAGAGCATCTAGTCTAATCCCTTCATTTTATACAGAGGAAGACCAGGGAACCCAGAGAGTGACTTGTTGAGGTTGATGCATAGCTGGGACTCATGTCTGGTCCACCCTCTCAGCCCACAGCTCCCTCTATTCTACCAAACACTACACTTGGTCCAGGCAATGCTTAAGTGGCCAAGAAGAGATATGGTAGCAGCATTCCCACTGCTGTCAACAAAGCATGGGCTGGTGAGTTTCTGTGAATGTTTGTTTTTTCCTAGTGATTGCAATGGGTATGGACTGAGCCTTCTCTCCTGGTCCAAGGGCACATATCTGCAAGGCAGCTGACTCTTTGGGGAAGGAAGCTAGGTACCTCACCTCACTGTTATCCAGTTTTGGGCTAGCCATGCCTGGTGCAGCCTCTATCTCTTTTTCTCCCTTCTTTTAAACAGAGAACAGACTGCTCAATAGGCTGGCCAATGCCCAAGTGTGTGTGTGTGCCTGCCACTGTCTCTCCCAGGAGAGGAGACCTCTGTTGGGAAGCCCAACCATCAGGCAGAAGTTAAATGAAGTCTGGGACCATGTGCTAGGGCTATATTCTAGCTCAGACCTCTAGTGGAAGGAGGGAGGAGGAAAGTCTTATTTCCTGAGGCAAGGAAGAAGGAAAAAAAAAAAAAGTTCCAAAGAAGCTCCTTTGTCCAGGTGGCCAAGGCAGCGTGTAGAACCAGAGAAAGGGCTGGCTTGGAGTAAGAAGGCTGGATAAAGTCCTAACTCTGCCACTTCCAAGCTCAGTGATGGTGGGCAATAAATTAAATTTGAGTCTCAATCTTCTCACCTATTAAGAGAGATGAAAATATCAATTGGCATAACATAGTCCACAAAGACAATGTTCTACATCCTACTTTGGTAAATAACAACTGGGGTCTTCAAGGCTTGTGAACAGCCAATGAAGGTGCAACTACCAGTCTTGCCATGTCTGGAGCAAAGAAGAGTAAAGAAAATCAAAGAGAGAAGGAAACAATTAATCCAAAGGACTAATGGACCACATGAAACCCCAGCCTAAATGAAGCTGAGATCAGAAGTAGATGGTGCCTGGCTATCACGGCCGACTGCTGTGAAAGAGATCACAGTAGGATCACAATAGGAGGCCCTAGACAGCATGGGAGAAAAATGTGGAACAAAATTCAAAATCTTAAAAAAGACCAGGCTTACTGGTCTGAGGAAAACTCATGGAAGCCCTGAGACTAAGGCCCTTGATACCCTTCAAGCCTGCAACTGAACTCAATCCCTGCGGCTCAACTTTCAGCCAAACAGCAGATAGGCCTGTAAGTTGAACGATAATACCAGGAAGGTATGCACTCCTAACAATCAGAACAATCAACAATACAGACCAAAAGGACAGCACGTACCTAGGGATAAATCAGAGAAGGCAGAAGAGACAGGAAAGAAGGATGACGGGAAATGACAAACACGGGGGAAATAGAAGAATGCTGTTACATTGTGGGGACTGCAGTGAATGTCATAGAACGTGTACTGTTGAATGGAAAACCAATTTGCTCTGTAAACTTTCACCCAAAGGACAAAAAAAAAAAAGATAAAAGAGGAAGAGATGAAACTACTTATCTTATTTAAAACATTTTTGAATTATAAAAAAAGCAATGAAAGGACATTTTGTTAGGCATTAATCAATCAGAAAGATCAGGATCATGCTTTGGCAGGCAGCTGTGGATGTAGTTGAAAGAACAGTGGGATCTGGTAATTAGACCACCTAAGTTAATGTATCAGTTCTGTCATTTAATGGTTGTTGGACTCTGGAAAGCCATTAACCCTCTTTGAGCCTCAGTTTATATTCCACAGAGTTGTTGTGGGAATTCAAAGAGAATGGCCATAAGAAAACTCTGTTAACAGTAAATCATTACACAAGAACCCAGGATCACTTATGTAGTATTACATTGTGGGCTGGCCTCTGGGGCACCTTGGTGCAGGCCTGCCGCCAGGAAGGGCCCTGTTCAGTATGAGGTGCTGACAGTTTGGTGGAAACACATTCCACCTGTTCCAAATGCCACTGATAAAGACCCTTATGGTTCCTAAGCTTAAGAGACTGTCTTGGCGCAATGGCTGAGTCAGGAAAACCAGCTTCTTCCGGCAGATGGGGACAGGGGCCAAGGACAAGCTCAGACACATCACTACTCCACTCTCCAAGCTATCTGCTAACACAACAGCCTGCCTGTGTCTGAAGTGCCCTGGGCACATGCTGGGGTGCTGCTGGCAGCAACCCACATGTGCTCATGGGAAGGGATGGGAGGGGAGCCGGGCACAGAACTTGGGAGAATGAGGGCAGGGTCCAGGAAAGCAAAGTCTGGGAGCCGAGGCCTGCTGTAAGTAGGCAGCTTTGGTGGTAGGTGAGATGGCTGGGAAGGAGCAAACTCATAATCTGGAATTCCAGAGCACTCAGGAGGAGAAGAACTCAGGCCCCAGATTACAGTGATGACAACCTTACTGCTCCAGACTGTGAGAGTTACTTCACACACCTGGCTCCTAATGACTTTGTACACCAAGTAGGGCACATATCATTATCCCCATTTGAAAGATAAGTAAACTGAAGCTTAGTGGTTATCTAGCTGATTGGTAATAGAACTAGGACCAGAATGCACCGGGGAGGCCAAGGAACAGTATCTGACTATCTCTAGCATGGAGTGGGAGTGCAAGAAAACTGCTGAGGAAGTAAATGAACCCACCTTCAGCCTCCTTTCCACCATACTGCTAGTAAGTCAGTGAAAACAGGTAGGAGACTGCTCTGAGAGTATCCAGTGCAACCATGGAAGCAGGGAATAGAAAAAGCCAAACACTAAGGTTGCACAGTAACTCTTCTGCAATCGAATAGAGTGCCTACTTGTTTTCCCTCACGATACAAAGAAAGTATCCTTCAGCAAATTAAGACATCTAGGTCTAGAATAGCTAGAGGAAGCTACAGGGATTGTCCTGGCTGGAGAGAGAGCTCTGGTTATGGTTCAGAGTTAAGAGTGGCAGGGTCTCACTTAGTAAAGATTGATTCAACACCACGAAGTACATTCCATAAACATCTGTTAAATGGGTGGATGGATGGATGAATGTTGAAGTTCACAGTTAAAAACACAAGAGGTTTAGAAAAGTCAGGGAACATTTTATGAAGTGGGCCTTTACAGATGGGAAGGATTTAAAGAGCTATATCAAATTCTAGAAAAGAGAGAACAGTATTACAGAAAGCCTGAAAATTCCATGGAGGAATTTGGACCTAATGTAGTAGAAAATAGGAAGGTGCCAAAGTGTCCAGGATGGAGGCATAATTCAAGCAAAATTCTAGGAAAAGGCAGAAGAGCGCTGACAACAGACCTTCTGTAATGATGGAAATGTTCTCTATCTGCACTATCCAATACAGTAGCCACTAGCCACAGATGCTTACTGAGTATGTGAAATGTAGCTAGTGTGACTGAGGAACAGAATTTTACATAATTTCAATCAAACTAGCCACCTATGGCTGGTATTGGACAGCACAGCTCTCCAGAAAGGCTGCATCCACATCACCTGAAGCTTTTCAGTATCACAGTCTCAGGCTCCGCCCCAGACTTGCTGAATCAGGACCTGCCTTTTAACTAGAGCTCCAGGTAATTTGCATGCACGTTAAAATTCAGTGTTCTAGAATTGCACATTAAAATCACCTGGGGAACTTTGAGAACTACAGATGCCTACCTATGCAATTAAACCAGAATCTTTGAGGGACAGGGTCTAGACAGAGATTTTTAAACTGTGTCCCAGGTAATTAGCATATTTCCCAAGCTTTCTCTTAGAAGTCATCTGGATACTTGTTGAAATGCCAGGCTCTGCTCCTACTGAACTGGAATTTTCAGAGAGGTTTCAAGAATTGTATTTAAAAAGGATCCCAGATGACTCTTTGGAGCAAGTATGTTTGGGTGAGACATTCTGGCATAATGGATTGGGATGGAGGACAGAGAGAATAGACAAAACTTAGAACATTTTATTAACACTAGGAAAAGAGTCAAGTGAGCCAACCAAGTCAACTTCAATAAAGACCTCCAAACAAATGCCAAAAGAAAGACCATTTCTCTAAATCTAACCCTCATTCTCTTATACACTGTCATGTGTCTGAAGCCAGAGCACATCCAATTTAACAATGGATATGTACACTGACAGTGTTTTTCAACCACCATCCCACTTCCAAAAAGCCCATGTTAACTTAATGGCAGATGTGGTATGCAATCTAAATTGATCTCTTGTAATTGGAAATATCTGGTAGTTTGGGAGTCAGGAGACACCAATTTCAAATAGTCCAGTAACCCTGGGCAAATTATTTAATTAATTAATTTTTGGGGTCGGTGTGGGGGGGTAAGCTTATCTCTTGGCTTCGATTATTATCTTCAGGCTGATAACATTTCCTCCAGCCTGCACTCCATAATGTCTTGCCTTCATTCCTTCATGCAACTCCTTCCTTCCTCATTCTTCACCTGTCATGTGCCAAGCACTAGGCTAGGCAATAGAAATACAAACACAAGACACTGCCACCACTCAGAAGAAATCCCCAGACAAGCCAGGGCAGCAGTGAATGCTAAAGGAAGTTACTAAGGGCTCAGAGTCCACAGAGGGCGGGAATGACCTGTGCTTGGGGAAGAAGTTCCCAGAGTGTTTCCCAGGAGAGAGGAAGCTTGCAGTACATTTAGAGGTAACCACAAAATTAGCATAAAAGGACATGATTTGTTAAAAAGATGAGGTATACTGAATGGTGGTGGTTGGTATAAAAGAGTTTATTACTCTACTTTTTTCTATTATGTTTGAAAATTTTCGTAATAAAGGTTGAGGTTCTACAGAAAAAAATATAAGTTGAGGAAAAAAAGATGAGCTAAATCTAAATGTTCTCATGTGGCAGGATGTCTGCATAAAGAAAATAAACATACAGTCCCATACCATATAGCATAGCTGCTTGTCTCTGCACCAATGATGTCTGGAAGGACACCCAATAACCGATGAGTGTCGTTTTCCTCCCGGACAGGGAACTGGGCAGAAGGGGGGAGTGGACTTCTATTTTCCACTTTACCACTTATGTACATTTAATGAATTCTTAAAATGATTATGTATTGCTTTTATAATTAAAGCAAGAAAAAAGTGTGTCGTTTGGTAGACTGTACTGTTCACGTGTGTCTTTCCCTCGCTGGGCACATCTGGGGCTGGCACGGGGACTGATTTGCCATTGTCCCTCCATCCAGCAGCTGTGGGCTAGGGAACTATGTCATGCAGTATTTTCTTTTCCTAAGCATTAGGCAGCCTGCTGCACATCCATTCTAGTTGCCCAGTCAGTAATATAATCAGGAAATAAATACAAAGCCATAATGGCAGGCCGTGAAGGATGGTCCTTGAAGAGTTCCTCAGAGGCTCTCATCAGAAGCCTCTGCTGGGGGAGGCCATGATTCTGCCTAAGGCTTGGCAACTGATCTTACCTCATCATATCCCAAGATTGCAGCATAGAAGCTATTGGTCATGAGGACCATGTTCTTCTTCAGGATATAGGGATTAACCTACCGAAACAAAATGGCAAAAACAAAAGTATGAAAGAAAGGACAAAACTAAAAAGCTGATTTTTGGCTCTTAGTTGTTACAGACGCTTAACAAAACAAAATGCTCAGGGAAGGCTCCCAACAAGTCAAACTGCCAGTCCATTCCTGATTCCATTATCTGTCAGGATAATTATTTGTCAGCTTCTTTTAGGTTTGATCCCAAATTACACTAGTCACTCAGTTTAATAAACTGAGTTGAATACACCGAGTCCCAACTATGTGTCCTCCAACACCCAGCAGAGGGCCTGGCCTGGATCAGGGTCCCGACAGGCTGTTGACTGAATCCAAAGCAGGGCCTAAGTGCCACACACAACATCTTCAATCCAATGACACGGGATGTTTTTGTTTCTTTGCTGCTCATCACCTTCCATGTTTCCGACATATCACAAACAGATACTACCAAACTTCTGCACCATCTTCCAGGATGGGCTGGGGTGAGAGGAGTCAAGAAACAGGAAACTATGAGCTAATTCCTCTATAAGGTCAGGATGGCACTATAACCCAGACCTCCTGATGCCCATTTCAGGGTCTCTCCCTATCCCAATACTAGTCGCACTTCTAATTATGTAAGAAGAATCAGAGCCATGAAAGGACAATGCCAGAGGTGTTACAGATTAAGGCAGGTGCATCTCTCCCAGGCAAACCTTCATTGGACCTACTCAGCACAGCTAGTCTGTGTGTTGCATTGAGACACAAGCATTAGAGCTGGAAGGGCGCTCAGAAAGAACCTCAATCCCCTTAAGGAAATGGTAAACTGACACCCAGAAAGAGAAAGGGGTTTATCTAAAGTCACACAAGTTAGTGTCAGAGCCAGGATTAGAATGTGGTTTCTGGGCTAGGGCTTTTTTTTTTTTAACTTCACCATCTGCAGGAGACTTCAGTGATCACCCATACAATAACCTGCAAACCTCAATTCTCGCTTTCCAGGAAGCTCATGTACATGCGTCCTCTTGAGATGTCCCTGCATGCTCACTGGCTATTGCCCAGGAGAACAGAGGACAGGAGCGGAGTTCCTTATTTGCAAGGTTTCTCTGTCTCCTGAGACTGTATCTGAACTCCAGTGACCTATAAGCTGCCTCCCCTTCACCTTTAGCTGACGGTTGGTACGCTGCCACAGCTAGGAATGGTTTTCACATATCGTCATCCAGGCTGGATTAGATCATGACCTGGGCTCTTCCTGGAAGAGGGCAGAAGCTCCATCAGTGCAGACACATGATCTGTAGGCAACAGGTGAAGGGCAGCTTCCTGAACTACGGGACTCAGCCCACCGGGCCCTGCGGCCAGACCAGAACCCGAGGGGAGGAGGAGTTTCCCTCTGGTGAACTCTTGCTGGGATGCCGCCCCCTCACTGAAGCTTGTGCTGGTCAGTGTGCAGGTTTCCTGTGTCCTCACTGCCGTGACCCACACACCGGATGACAAACTCCTCTTAGACTGTGCTGGCTGTTCTCTTACTAAACTCTTCTCCTTTCCACATGGTTTGCTTTTTATAAAAACTCATACATACAGCACCACCACAAGGAAAAGGTCCCTTTTATATCAGTTACTCATATTTTCCCATTTATTTAAGCTATTAAAATTCATGCAGATATTTTATAAGCCATCAGGATTTGGTGACTAGTATTACTGAATGTTTAATAATAAACTAAACAGAAGAAATCAGAGGGTTAAATGATGACTGCAATTCCTGTAATGACTTAATTAAATTTTTATTGAGTACATAAACTATGACGTCATTTCTAGCCAACCACGGGTCTGCTCTCCCGCTTGTCACAGGGTGGGACCGCTCAATAGGAGGCGAGGCTAAATGAGCAGCAGGTCTCGGCTGAAATGGGAGGGGAGCAAGGCTCATGTAACACACTCAATAAATTATCCGTTCATTTTTAAACAAAGTCCATGAGTTATAATATATTTGCCATGCACTTTTTATGACATAATAAAAATGTTACCTTAAGGATTACTTAACACATACTACAAATGTTATAGCAGAGGCAGGCACAAGGGGCAAAGAAAACAAACATGAGCAGGCCAGGGACGGGTCCTGGAGTTGATGTCCCAAGGGGAATAGCATAATATATTAAAAACCAAACCAAACCCATTGCCGTCAAGTTGATTCCGACTCATAGCGACCCTATAGGACAGAGCAGAACTGCCCCCATAGGGTTTTCAAGGCTGTAAATCTTTATGGAAGCTGACTGCCACATCTTTCTCCCACAGGGCAGCTTGTGGGTTTGAACTGCTGACCTTTTGCTTCGCAGTTGAGCGCCTTAACCACTTTGCCATTAGGGCTCCTTAATATATTAAAAAGGGAAGAAAAAAAAGGAGGAGGGGGGATGTAAGAGTTTAGGCCAACAAATCAGTAGATGAATGAATGAGACAACCAACAGGGAACACAAATAAAGCAATAATGAATCTTACAACAGGTCACATCCTTAATTTATGCAGTGTTTTTGAGGAGAGATGCCAGTTCATCTGAGGCCAGTTCACTGCCTTCTTTCTCCTTTTTGTTCTCGCTGCTCTTAAAGACATTTATGTGACTGTTTAACAGAGGAACCAGATGATGCAGAAAAAACAGGACTGATGCAGGATCGAGTTTAAACTTTGGGAGCTCTACAAGGTTCTCTGTGATCTGTTCTTGATCATCTTTCCTCCCTCCTCACCTCTTCCCACTACCACACTCTTACCTCACCCTCCAGTCCGAGTAAACTTGTGCAATTTCCACAAATATGTCACGCTCTCTTGCATCTCTGAGGCACACTGCTGCAGGATATCCTTCTCTCTCCTTTATCTACTGGGAGACTAACTCTTTATCCTCCAAAACTTAGCTTAGAAATTACAATCTCTATGAAGCATCCCTCTCCCCAGTCTACGTGTGCCACAAAAGTGATTCAAGGAACAGTTCCCCCCCTAATTCAGCATTCACCATGTACCAACAACTGTGCTAAGAGCTTTACACATATTAGCTCATTTAATCCTTCCCAAAGACTCTATGAGAGAGAGAGGTACTGTTATCATTCCCACTTTAAAACCAATGTTTGGTGAAGTTAAGGTTATACCAAAACTCAAACTCATGCCATCAAGTTGATTCCAACTCATAGTGACCCCCTTTGGGTTTCTGAGGCAGTAAATCTTTACAGACGTATATTGCCCAGTCTTCCTTTTGCAGAGTGGCTGGTGGGTTTGAACCACCAACCTTCTGGTTAGCAGTCAAATGCCTTAGGCACTACACCACCAGAGCTCCTTTTAAGGTTGGAAATAGTGGGGTCAAAGTTAGAATACATAGTGGAACTCCAATACTTCAACTCCTGTTTTGAAGTAAACACCCTATATAACATGGTTGTCCCTTCCTATGCCCTATGCCTCAGGTTATCTGTAGAGACAGGGCTAACAAGTGCTGGTGGGGTCTTGGGTAAATACAATTCAGAGATTTCAATGAAAGTTAGAAATGGGGCACCAGATGGGTCATCAGACAACCCTAGTGTAGCTAAGCCCCATTCCTGGGCAAACTTGGAAAAAAAAATGGCTCCCTGGTGCAATTATGGTGCAGGAGGGGAGAACAGAAGAATGTTGGTATGGACGAAGAAAGAACTGATTAGCATGAAGGTTAAAAACAAACTTTAGGGATACTCACTTGAGGCAACTATGCTACCAGGAGCAGGCTGGTAAGAATTTGTTGGAATGAATGAATGACAAAGGGTGGCTAGAGCTGCTGACTAAAGAATAAGGAATCTATCAAATTCATCATAAGGTAACAATGCAGTGCAAACAAGTGCACTGCAGGTAGCACAATAGTGCCAACACCATGTGTTACAGTCACTGTGTGACATCCGCCAGTATATTTAAAGTTAGAAATTAGCCCACTGTAGAAGACGTACGAGAGACAGAAAGAAATAGTGAGAGGACAAAGAAAGACAGAGGTGGACATGGAGAGAGTGTCTGCATGGAACTCACTCACCACATTATGGCTACACATCTCTTCCTCCGGAGAGTTTTTAGCAATGACCACAAAATACAAACAAATAAAATCCTAACTATGTGCATGTTTATTAGACAAGTCCAGAGAATACTGTGTTAATGCCAAGAATGAAAAGGAAAAATAGTGAAACATGAAAAGATGGACAATTTTTTCTTCTCATTTTAGAAAATGAAGTGACTATCTGAGGAAAGTATGCTCCCGTTGTGATGAAAGACCAACCTAAATGAGGGATGAGATAATCCTTAAGTCTTATTTCACTTAATTATGTCAAGCTTTTAATGTACCAGGGAAACTTGCTATATGACCAAATCCTTTCTTTAAAAAATCCCCTTCTTGTTATTTATTTTGAAAATCTCGGTTTTGTTGGTTGGGATGTGCATATTCAAATCTGCACAGCCTGAGCATGTCCTGGAAAACAACGTGCATGGGCAGCAGCAGAAGTGTAGAAGAGGTAGCCTTAATTTCTGAACGGCCAAAAAGTACAGGAGCCTCTTCCTCAGGAAAACAGCACATCAACAGAGTAAAGCTAGCTGGCCTTGGAAATTATGGTCATTATGGTCACTTGATAAGACAGTCAAACACGTCAAGAAATCCATAGTCTCCTTGAAAAGCAGCTGATGAGGGACCATAACGTCCTGTGAAGATCAAACCATCATACTACTTTGTCTTCTATGGCAAGGCACACAGACTAGAGGAATGTAACAGCTATACTCGACATTAGTTTCTGGATTTTTGGATTGTGTCCCACATAGCAGGTAAGGGTATCTCATACGTACTCCAGTTACAAGGATCAAAATCTGGCTTGAAAGAATGGACGTCTTGATAGTAGCACTGATGGCAGTCCTATAGCAGTCACTCCTGGATAATAGATTTACCTGAAATCTATACCAATAATTATGATGATAGTGGTAGCAGTAACAGTGATTATACACTGTACTTTATCTGATAATGTTTTCACATATATGACCTTAGTAGTGACTCACAACCA